CTTTAAGTCCTCATTTTTCTCTCCCTTTGGCGAAATAAGAGTCTTGTTTCTTTATTTCTCGATAATGACAGGCGTGGGAGAACACCCCAGTTACCGGTAAAACATATCTCAAGGATTATCGGATCCGGAAGGAAGGTGTTGAGATCCTTGGCCTTACTGGCGGCTATCCTATATAGCGGGGTCGGTCCAGTAGATCCTGAGAGTTAACATGGCGATTAGCAGGAGTTGGTTACTCTTCTTGGTGGTTGTATTGGTCCTGGCGTACGTCCAAGGAGCCCCAGGTAACAATATTATTGTTTTTGTTTGTTAATGTTTTAAGGTGTAAAACTCCGAAGTTGTAAACGCCTGTATTTAATTTTTGTTGATTTCTGAAGAAAAAAAAATTGTTTTATATTGTTTGATCTCAGCAAATCCAATACTAGTTTATGTTTTTTTATAAGGAGTATGAAATTTAAACTAGTTAGATTTGAACTGCAAAAAGAACATTCTTCCAAATAGTCTTTGCTTATCTTCCAACTTATTTTTCTTAATTACTTGTTTTTCTTCAATTAATAAAAACTGCATTCTCTGAAAATATACTTTGTTGATTCATTCCAAAAAAAAAAAAAAAGAAAAGAAAGGACTATTATTATTATTATTATTTAATTTAAGAATCCGTTTAAACAAAAACTCAATTATTTTCATTTGCTATCAAAAGCTATATATATTACCGTTATTTGATGGTTTGCTTAATTTAATAAAAAATAAAAAAATCAGCTTATTCATTAGGATGTTTTTCTGGTAGAATAATTTTGTTTTGCACAAAAGTTGCTACAGTTCTAAAAACTTCGTGTAACTCAGGTTTGTTTTATTTCAGAAATTTAATGAGTAAAATTTTGTAAATATTAGTTCCCACTGTTATGGCTAGGTATACATACTCAATTCCAAAAATGTAAGGAGTTCTGGAGTTCACCTGATCCAAGACCCTCCTATTATTAATATACATCCCTACATTACTCAATTCTATCTATTTTTTGCAGAAGTTGAACTATTTTTTATTTTGTACTAATGATAAAATGTAATTATTAATATTTTTTCATTTCTTGTAAAATTGATTAAAACTTATAAAAATATTTACATATATATTTTTAGTGGAAGCCAAAATGGGAATATTGACCACTAAAATAATTATTTGATTTCAGATATTGGTAAATTATTGTTCGGTAAAGGTGGAGGTTTGTTTGGAAACGGACACGAGGGAGGCGGACACAGCGGTAGTGCTGCTTCAGCCAGCAGTAGCGCTGGTGCTCATGGTCCTGATGCACACTCTGAATCACACTCAGCATCATTTTCCTTTGGTGGCATTACCTCAAGTTTTTCCTCCTCTTTTTCGAATGCTGGCGGTGGGGGGTAAGCAAAAAATAAATAAATTAATAATTAATAGAAAATAAAATGTAGATTTGAGTTAGAGTAGTTAAAATAAAAGAATATTATAAACTTAAAGTATTTAGCCTGAAATTTATAGAAATAAATTTTTGAAAAATATATATGTTTTTTTTTTTATATTTGGGTTTTCTACAACTTAAGGAGTCATATCCCCAATATCCAAAAGCCACTGCTCTCTGTCCATCCAATCTCCTTCACGGAGCCCTCTGGCTGCCATGCATTCCTCCACATCTTCTATCCATTTCTTCTTTGGTCTTCCACGCTTCCTTCTTTCAGGTGGCATATAGTCATAAATTTTCTTTGGCCAGCGGTTCTCATCCTTCCGCATTAAGTGGCCATACCACTTTAACCTTTTGGTCCCAATCAGGTGAAGAATGTTCTTTTGACATCCGACATTGTCTATATATATTTATAAACAATATATATTTATATATATACAATATACAATTTATATGTAAACAATATATATTTTTTTAAATCCTCAATAATATTGCTTTTTTATTTATTTCAGGTTTGATGACTACTAGTTCCTGATATTATTTCATTGCACCCATCCTAATTTATTACCCATTTTGTGTTGATGTTTTAATTGTAAATAATAAAATTTTTACTTTCTATGTTTTTTATTCACTTCTCTTTCGATATGTATACACATATATTTTATCTATTTTGTTCCAAAAGAAAGTGAGATTATAAATGAAACTCAGTTAAACTCTGAATTACAATATATTCCAACTGATTAGAAGACTATAATTAAGTTTTAATTATAACTGAATCTAGCATTTAAAAAAACTAATTAATCATTAGGATTATATAATTCATTTGAACTTTCATTAATCAGAATCCTAAATATTAAAAAAAAATTAATTTGAAATTGGTTTGAATATTATTTGTTTATCACTTAAATGCCATCTGATAGGGAAGAGGCTGGGAAGAAAAAATATGTTGAAATTTATCCACCAGAAATTTTAAACATCTCAAATTTTTTAAGAAAAGAAAAAAAGCTTTAAGAAAACCATTCAATTATTCTTATGTATATATTGTATTTATATCTACTTCCATTAATTTAAAAAAGAGATCGGAATGAGTTTTTAAATAATTTACTATGCTATATCTTGGCCAGTTATTGAAGGCTGTCCCCATTCCTTAACTTATCCTCTTTATTCCTGTTTCTTACTTATATGTGTAATACATAATATGTATATATGATATGAATAAGTTATACTGTGATTTTAAAGTTTAATTTAATGAGACAGTATATAGTTAGAAGGGATGTTTAAAGTTCTGAAATCATAATTAGTATCATTGTTTTTACTTATTTATTAATTTGTTTTTAACCATACGGATACTGTGAGTAACATAATTAACATTTAAACTATATTACAATATTTTTTTGGGGGGGAGTGGTTTAATATTCTTAGGAAGAATGTTATTCAACAGATAACCAATCTCCACTAGCCAGGGTGGGAAGGTCAAGATCTGTCACAAGATAAATTTCAACCTGCTTAGACTGGACCAGAACTGATGCGTTTCTGACTTAAGGTTACTAAGTTGTCACCTTTAAAACTACTGGCCAACATTGTCATTATTTGTATGCATTATTTCTCAAAGGTGTTTTTATGTAATATCAATCTTGTTGTCGAACAAGAAAGAAGAAGAAGATTTCGCCAATAACATTTATACTATGAAAATTATTCATAAGGACTTCAAAAATAATAATAATTTAAGGCTTTTTTTTTTTTTTTGTTCTTCCCTACCTCGCCGTTTAGGCTATACGGGATTTTCCCGGGCCGGAGGGTGGGGGCGGGGAAATTAATTAAAGGCTTAGCGAACTCGAAGGTTCGATGCCGACACCACCAATCGCTTATTACACACCTCTCTCCACCGTTCGCCATCCAACTCTAGTCGTCCCTTCAGATCGGCTTTAATGCAATCTTCGGTCTACCCCTTGGACATTTACCATTCGGTACAGCAAATATTAACCTTTTAGGAATTCTCTCATTACTAAGCCCAACCATAAGGACCAAATATTATTAAAATTAATTAAATAATTAGTAAACTAACTATAATCAAAACAAAAATGTTCTGAAATTTTCGTGATACTCTCATGTGTGTATCTTCTCTTATCACAAGTTATATAAAAAGGCATCAACCTCCTCATTTATTAGTATCCAAGTATCGACATAATTGACTGTTTCCACTGTTAAAGAAAGGACAGTAATATTACATATGTTTATCTATTCTTATGTGTTCTTGGGCGCAATTTCTTGAATACATGTAAAATGTGTCCAGTGGAATTTCGCCAGTCCATCTTCTGTTAGAATTTAGAATTAGTATTATTCAGTATATTTAAAAGTTATAATATGTGAAGAATATGAAAAAAAAATATTGATAAAGATTAATGTAAACTTGAATGCGATTTGTTAATTTAAACTGTTCTTTTGAAAAATTACAGTTATCAGGTTCCATTCATCTAAGTCCATTTTTCCTCTTTACATGATTATGTTGATGTAAGACTTATTTATCACACTAAATAAATAGTTACATTGTAATTTAAACTCAGCAGCAATTGGTATTTTTTTTTTAAATATCTGCTTATAAATTCTTATTTTAAAAACTTTTTAAAATCAGGAAATATATTTTAATTTTAATTGTCATATTTTGACAGATATATTATAATTGCAAGCATAGAATAATGAAGAGATTTATTTTTTCTATTTGGTTTAAGAGCTATACTGTAATTTATTTAATCTTTTGATCCAGAAGGGAAATAAATACATTTATGCAATGAAGTTAGAGAATGAGAATGAGTTTAATTAATTAATATTCTTTAGTTAACCTTCAATTAATCTGTCTTCTAAGGGTACATTCCCAATTCATTTAGGTGTGCTATGTTTGATTCATGATCGGTTTTGTATTCTAGGCAACTATCATCATAAGTGATAAGCCCAACGCCTTGCCAATGCTATATGAATCAATGATCAAATTGTTTCAGCAATAGTAATTAAAGTTACATGCATCACTTACAAACATGATTTTCCACCTAATTACATTGGGATTTTTTTCAACAATGTAAAAATAAAAATTCTATCACACATTTGATTTGAAACGTAGAGGCAATAAAAGGAAATGTTCAGTAGCTCTCTAGCAATACTTGACTATTGCATATATTAAATTTTCTGTCAGTAAATATAATAATCAAATTATATCATAAATACAGGTAAAAAAAAGTTTGTATGTATTGTCCCATTTTTAAGAATATACAGTACTTTGACCATTGCTATATTTATTATTAATAATTAATTAGGGATATAATTAGAAACTTCTGATGAAATGATTTTAATGAAAGTAAATTAAATTTAAATGTTTAAAGTATCAAAGAATACTGTAAATAATTTACCAGATTTTGAGTTTGCTTGTCACATTGTCTTACATGCCTTACATGCCAAGAATCACAATGGACCTTTTATAAATAAACTTGTTTAAATCGAAATTTTTCAGTATTCTCTTCAACTTTGAATCAAACAAGTTCTATTGTATAAGTAATATTACTTTTAAATGATATCAGCAATTCCTTAGGTATAATACATTTATTAACATAAAATGAATACATATATGGAAAATTAAATACTTTTATTTAACTGGAACGACATAAATTGAATGACACGCTAGTAAAATAAATTTTTCCATTAAATTACATCACCATTAGGTCAAATCAAATTCTAAACATCTCTTGAGAGGATGGAAATGCAAATTTAGAGTTAATGTTAATGCCAAAAGGCTTCTAGGCTTCTTCACCTCCTTCACCTTCACCTTCAACAGAGTCCATTCCGACTTCTTCGTAATCCTTTTCCAATGCTGCCAGATCTTCTCTTGCCTCTGAAAACTCACCTTCTTCCATACCCTCACCTACATACCAGTGAACAAAAGCTCTTTTGGCATACATCAAGTCAAATTTATGATCTAGACGTGCCCACGCTTCAGCAATAGCTGTAGTATTTGCTAACATACATACTGCTCGTTGTACTTTAGCCAAATCTCCTCCAGGTACTACAGTTGGTGGCTGGTAATTAATACCGACTTTGAAACCAGTAGGGCACCAATCCACAAACTGAATTGTTCTTTTAGTTTTGATTGTTGCAATGGCTGAGTTGACATCTTTTGGTACAACATCACCTCTGTATAGCACACAGCAGGCCATATATTTACCGTGCCTCGGGTCACATTTTACCATCTGATTTGCTGGCTCAAAACATGAGTTAGTAATTTCAGCGACCGACAACTGCTCATGATAAGCTTTTTCAGCTGATATAACAGGAGCATAAGTGACCAGAGGAAAATGGATTCTAGGATATGGAACTAAATTGGTTTGGAACTCTGTAAGATCAACATTTAAAGCACCATCAAATCTCAAAGATGCAGTAATAGAGGAAACAATTTGACCTATCAACCTGTTTAGATTGGTGTATGTAGGTCTTTCTATGTCAAGATTTCTTCTACATATATCATATATTGCTTCATTATCGGCCATAAAAGCGCAATCTGAATGTTCCAAGGTTGTATGGGTTGTTAGAATGGAATTGTATGGTTCGACTACAGCTGTTGAAACTTGTGGAGCTGGATATATAGCATACTCCAATTTACTTTTTTTTCCATAATCAACAGAAAGTCTTTCCATGAGCAGAGACGTAAAACCTGATCCAGTTCCACCTCCAAAGGAGTGAAAAATCAAAAATCCTTGTAGTCCACTGCATTGATCCGCTAGTTTTCTGATTCTATCTAACACCAAATCTACAATTTCTTTTCCAACTGTATAATGTCCCCTAGCATAGTTATTGGCTGCATCTTCCTTACCAGTAATAAGTTGCTCGGGATGGAAAAGTTGCCTGTAAGCTCCTGTTCGCACTTCATCTACTACAGTTGGCTCAAGGTCGACAAAAATTGCTCTTGGCACATGCTTTCCCGCACCAGTTTCACTGAAAAATGTATTAAAGCTGTCATCACCCCCTCCAACAGTCTTGTCAGAAGGCATTTGTCCATCAGGTTGAATTCCATGCTCAAGGCAATATAATTCCCAACAGGCATTGCCAATTTGTACTCCTGCTTGGCCTGCATGGACTGATATTACTTCACGCATTTTATAAGGTTATAAATTAAAAGTTTTTAAATGTAAATGAGTTATTAAAACTGCTGAATACTAAGAAAAAACAATGAATACTATTGAACAATACAAAAATAAACTGGAGTCAGCTGATCACCTGCTATTGAAGTGTACTCTATTCAATGGTGGAAAAACGAAATCTCTACCTAATATTTCTTTTGAATTTTCCTTAGCTTCAGAATGCCAAATACATACACATTTTTATAACTATCACTTATCCATACTTAGTATATTAGATCATCTGTTTTAAGATAAGAAATGTGATTTTAAATTTTATATTTTGTTATAAAATATTTTAAAATATACTTAATTAACAGGTTTAATAACATAAATTAGTAGGAATGACACATTTTTAAAAATGCCTTTATGAAGAATTGAAGTAAGGTTAAGGGAGTTTATATTTATGTCAGTTTGGTTAGTAAATTCAGAAGTATCATTGTCTGAATTTTTTATTTTTTGATGTAAATAAATTCATATGATATAAGTTCAAAAAGAAAGTTATAAGTAAATGATATGTTTATTACAAGCTAAATACATTTTTTAAAAGCAATTCATTAAATTTAGGAATTTAATATTAATTATATCTTGTATTTTCTAAATGAAAAAATAATTTTTGGAAAAAAGAAATATGCATAAAATAATTTTACTTTGTAAAAATAATATAATTCTTATTAGATTATTCCTGGACTGTTCTTTATACATTGATTTTTTTATTATTGTTTTATTTGTATTGCTAAAATTATGTCTAGTAAAAAAAATGTAATATTTCAATATGATTTGTATACATTATTACATATTTACATATTTAAATTTTTTGGATATTTTTAATTCATATTAAGATAAACTTTTATTTCAATTGAATCAATATCTATCATTACTGGCTTATTGAATCCTTCTCTGATAGAAAATGTTTATCTCAAACATCCTCTTAAATTGGGACAGAATCAAAATTGTGTCTTTTGAAATGTTTTACTGATGGCAATTTTATGTGCTGGATGAAATAATAGTTATCATTTATTCCCATCAAGGTGAATAATTATAAGTGAACAAATACTATTAATTCACATCATAATTAATAAGGTTCATTCGTACTTAACATTTTATATAGCAAAATTAAAAGTATAATTTAAAATTTGTAGTAAATGTTTATTTTTCTAGAACTATTCAACTGTATTTGATGCTGAGTTTTAATAAGACATTATTGTAAATATTATAAAATTTTGTATTAAAAAAGCTTAATCAGAAAATTTTAATATTTTATTGAATATATTAGAAAATATCCTTTTGAAAATATAATTAATAAAAAATTGTTACAGGAAGTTGAGGTAGTTCAACTCTCCCCAACTTAACTAATTTTTCTCTTGTATGAATCGAGACTGAATCTTGCCCTGGCAGTGGTAGACTTTCTCTTTAAATAACAGAGTGCTCAGTTATGAATTCTATTATCAGACTATCTCATGGCCTTTCTACGATTGAATAAAAGTTAGATAAAAAAATTAATAAAAAAGTTTGAAAAGATATCCTAAATAGAAAGGCTAAAAGTATTTCTTCATAGGGATACGGAAAACTATCAGCTAATGCTGACTTGAAGATCTCTCCTCCCTTCCCGCTCATCGTTGCTAAAAGGTTAAGTAGAATTTCAGTTCATGTTGTAAATTTATACTTTTTGCTAATTTAGTGGCAAAAATATTCAGTTTTACCATTGTTAGCATTTCTTCCAGATCAGTAATTTCTGACACACGGAAATCTGCTGACCAATAACATAAGCCAGAATTAGAACAATGTAAAAGCATTTACTCCAAGTGGCAGGAATTCAGAGGGTAGCAGATTTCAAGAGAAGTTTTGTTTCAGGTTAAATAAAAAAATACTCATTTCTGATTTTTTATTACTTTGATCTTAATTCAGTAAATGAGTAATTGTTAGGTGGTGATGATATTTATTTCAAAATATATTACTTCAAGTACTGTTAAAAAACTGTTGACTTATATTGGGGAGAGAAAGGAAGGGGTGAAAGATGGGGGACAATTAAACTTGCTCCAACCACCTAAAATCATAGTTCCAATCATGTTATCAAGTAGTACTCTTCAAACTGGCTTTGCATCAATGTGTTCAGATAAATGTTGTTATTCAATAACTGGCCAGATTTTTTTTATTGAAAACATAAATGATTTTCGAAGAGAAGTTGTGGTGATCAGTCTAAAAATATAAATAAAAAATGAATAAGTATATTTATTTTATTAATTTTTATATTTATTGTGTTATTTATTTATTATTATTTATGTATTATTTATTTATTTTTATTAATTTGTATATTTATTTTATTAAGTTTATTAAGTAAATATACTTATTTATTTTTACTTTTTATTTTTTGACTGATCATCCCAACCATTCTTCTCTTCAATTATTCACTACATTCAACCATTAATCTATAATTATAAATGATTTTCCATTCTAAGAAAAAGTCGGTGACTAATAGAATTCTTTGTTTTTCACAATTTACTTAAACAATTGAAAAGAGCTCCATTAATAACAGTTAATTAAACTTCTTTATTAATATCACATACTTATTGGTTTATTAAGAAAATATATTATTAAAATAGTTAAAAATCCATCACATTATTGTCTATTTTCCTTCTTTTACATTATGGTAATTTTTTCAGTCTTCTTCGGTGTTAGAATTCATTCATTTAGTTTTATTTTCAGCCACTTTAGGGGATTCAGAAGAAGCATCTGGAGATACAACCAATTTTGTGCGGGCAGCCCTGCCATTGGAGTTCTTCCCATTAACTCTTAGGTTTGATTCTACGACAATCTCATCAAATGATGCTATGAAAGGTGCTAAAACAGAATAAAAATAAAATGAACAAAATTAATTTAAAAAACAAATTACAAGTAAAAAAAATATACTTCTATTTAACAATAAAATTAAAAATAGTTATTGATGGGTGTTGTGGTTTAGTTTAAGAATTATATGTATATTATTGTATAATACCCTGCCACAGGAAAAAATTTATTCCTGGCCCTTCAGAAAGGTGTAGTGCTAATAAATCATATTTATTTTTTATCTGTACTTATATTTTTTTGTATTCTATTGGAATGAAATGAAAAATAATTTTATTCTGGGACTGAAGTCCCCTTAGAATAATAGTAAAGTTTAAAAATATGTACATTAGTCTGGTATGTAAGTATACAATATTGGTTCTAATGTTTCATAATATGTTGTATATGTATAACAGCCTATCACTTTTCCAAATATAATTCAACAAAGAAATTCAGACTCAACATATTCTAGTACCACTTTTATCAAAAAATTAATCAATGAATTTAAGTTCAATTCAAAACTATTTTCATTAAAGTAACAAAGCATATAGTAACAAAACAAGTCTAAGAACTGTAAATGTAACTGATTGCTACTGAAAAAAATTGAAATTTTATTATTATTATGAGTTTAATTATTATTATTATAATTATTCATGCTTTAAAAATGCCTTTCTTCAAATATTTCAGTAATTTGAAAAAAAAAGTTTTTATATTCACATCTATAAAAGCAGTCAACATAAATTGAAATAATAAATATCTATATTTTAGTTTATTATTTTCAACAATGATGTTAGTATTTCAATTTTGATATGATACTATGAAAACATATTTTTAAAAAATCCAAGAATAAATAATAGTAATCAACAAAAAACTGAGATATTTAAAAATAATAATAAAAAAAAAGTTTTTTCTGACATTGAATAATAATCTGTACTCAGATGATAGAAAAGAGAGTTTTTCAACTTGAATTCATATGAACGTACAAAAAAGACATTTGAAAATCATTTAAATTCTACTCAGAGGTTGAACATACATTGCTAGAAAGAAGAACCTACTGAATGTATTAGATAGAAGGCATGAGCTGAATCTGGAATTCGCAAACGAATGTGGAGACTGCATGTCTACAGAAGAATTTTAATGCTACAAGTTCAAGTTGGTCATGTAATATTTAGTGTCAGGAAAAACATCTTATTGATTATGGAACTTTGATTTTTTTAATTTTCAAATTAAACCTTAATATAAACGTACGAATTTATGATATAAATATATCTATTTTAACTAATATATTTATTAAAATATATAATCTAGTTTGCATCATGTACTATACAGGATGTCCCGTAGGTAGAAGGAAATATTTAAGAGGTTGATAGTAGACATCAGGATCTACAGAAAAGTTCAAATAAGCAATTGCCAAATATCCAGCAGAAGAGTAGGAACTTTAAGATTTGTGTTTTTATTTAGCGAGTCATGTTTTCTGTTGAATAGGAAGCGATAACTAAAGAAATACTTAATTTAAGTAATTAACAATTGCTGTAAAGTTGAGAAAATTTACTTCAAATGAAAATAGGATATGTCCCTTTTTAAACCATTGGCGCAACAAAAGGACTATCTGGCGAACAAACACAGCTATGTTTGTTTAAAAAAAAGTCATAAATTATTTATTATTTTCTTGTCACCCTTTAACTGTACTACATTTACCCAAATCTTATAAAAACTTCCTTGTTTAATAATCTTTAAGCCCATATCAATTAAGTTGAGGTTTATTAGGAAAAAAATGTTGAGATTCACCACAAGTTGTGTAAAGAAATTATGAGATTTCCTATCCATTCACCTAAAACTGCCTGTGTTTTCAACAAAAATGACTAAAATTAACTGTTGAAAAGTTTTTATTTCTTGTTTTTCCGTGATATGGGATGTATTGTAATAAACATAATTACCTAAAAACACATTTTATTTATAAATATAAAAAGTTTAAAAACAATCATTTTTAAATATTTTTCACGTAAAGTGGTTATGAAACTGTCTTTTTCACCTAGATTCCTGTCATAGGAATTGATAAACATTTATTAGTGACAAACTTAATTTTTCTTACTAAAACTTATGTTTTAAATGAAGGAACTGATGGCTTCAATTATTTTTATGAAAACATAAATATTAGAGTTGGAAACATTAAGTTTGTCGCTTATAAATAAGCATTAATTCCTCTTACAGATACACCCTATGTGGGAGAAAAACCCAATTTCATAACCACGTCACATGAAAAATATTTGAAAAATCATTATTTTTATTTTTATAAATAAAATGTGTTTTTAGGTTTATTACAATACATCTCATATCATGGAAAAACAGGAAATAAAAACTTTGCAACAGTTAATTGCAGTTATTTTTGTTGAAAACAGTGGTACTTTTAGGTGACTGGATAGGAAATCAC